AATTGTTTTATTATTACTTGTATTTTATTTCACTATAATTTCATTTCAGTTTTTTTTAATATAATTATTATTTTCAGCTATTTAGTTTTAATTGTTCTTTTTTAGTTCTTTCATGGATTTCAAATCATTTTATATAATATGAGACAATGGAAGTCCGAACTGATGCAATTCATGTAGATCTATTATTTACCTATATCTTTTGCTATTACTATCTAATTATTTTGTATTATGGTTGATAACAAATATAAGTTGGTTCAAAAGTTTTGTAGCTCCATATCTCAATGAATATTTATGGTACTGTGTTTTGGTACCTATATACTGATTGATAGAGAATTTTGTACTCTATATACAAAATATGTAAAATTCAGATGACATTGACAACATTGAGAATAGTATATACTTGGAACCAACATATGCAAAAGAAGTTATAGACGTTATTAATGACTTAAAAACGAGGAAATCACCGGGATGGGATCTAATCAGATCTGAAACAATTGTGTGAACAAATTGCTTTTCCATTAACATACATATTTAACAAATGTTTCGAGCAAGGTAAATTTTCAGACTGCCTTAAACTAGGAATCATCAAACCTATACACAAAAACGGAAACAAAGAAAAAATAGAAAATTATCGACCAAACTCCTCGTTATCGGTTTTTTCCAAAATTCTTGAAAAACTTGTTAAGAAAAGAATTTATAAATACTTAGAAAAATTTGGCATACTATCTGATAATCAATATGGATTTATAGAAGGTCGTAGTACAGAAGATGCCATATTTAATTTAACATCGGATATATATAAAGCACAAGATAAAAAATACCCAATCATATGCATTTTCGTAGATCTGTCAAAAGCCTTCGACACCGTCTGCCATGAACGTCTACTACAAAAAATTTATTCCTACGGCATAAGAGGGCCCGCCTACAATTTACTGAAAGACTACTTAACAAATCGTAAACAAATGGTTGAAGTTGAAGGAATTAGAAGTGACTTCGGAACCGTCACTTTTGGAGTCCCACAGGGGACGGTGCTCGGGCCACTTCTATTCACAATTTATGTGAACAGTCTAATGACATGTAGATCTGAAGGTAAACTCATCAGCTTTGCAGATGATATGGCTATTTTGTATGAAGCAGAAACCTGGGTAGGTTTAAAGGCAAAAGCAGCACGAAATTTGAAAGTAATATGTGACTGGTTCAAATTCAATACGCTCACAATGAACGAGAAAAAAACGTATTATCTTCCTTTTACCTCGTATTCAAATCACTTACCCAATCTAGGACCTCTCATAATAGACAATAACACGAGCATACAAGAAAAAGATCGATCAAAGTATTTGGGCATAATAATAGATAGACATTTGAGATGAGACCATCACATCGAGAATGTGAAAAATAAATTGAGGGGTCTAACATTATATTTTGCTCTTGTGCAATCACAGCTGAGTTATGGAATCTTAGGTTTGGAAGGTGTGGCGGGAAGTAATCTGTATAATCTAAATATTGTACAAAAATGGATTCTGCGAATAATTTAAAAAAAACATAAGATATTCCAGTGACTCGCAATGCTCAGAGAACTCTATTTTTGATACAAGGCAGTTGTTTTGTTATCGAATATTGACAAATATCCATAAAAATGAAATAAAAATACAACCCGTTGTACATCCATACGACACTCGAACAAAAAAGCAATCCACAATTGTGCCAAACCGAGAAAAAACTATCGGTCAACGATCCGTTGAATTTTGGCCCCTAAGGTGTACAACTTACTACCGGACAGTTTAAAGTCCACGAAAAGTTTTACAACATGCAAGCATCATATCAAAAGGTGGATAACAACCACCAAGGGAAAACTTTTTAATGATCTCACTGACTTGACATTTTTGTTATAAAACAGTGACCACGCTACATTATATTCAAATCTTCTTACCCAAATGACTATACACTAAAGAAGTATACAATTATCTTCATCCGAATTAAGAGGAAACCGGACTAGGTTTTAAACGAATTTGAAGAGTCCAAGAGCTCGAAAAGTGGATGCCTCAAGATTTTAACGATCGACAGAAATCTTCACGTTTCGAGGTCTGTCCTTTTATTGCTTTTTCGCAATGAAAACGATCCTTTTTTGGATCGGATCGTCATGTGTGATAAAAATCTTCTACAACAGGAGACGTTTAAAAAAGACCGTGGTCACTGTATAATGGTTAGCGGCTGATTTGATTCACTGTAACTTTCTGCAACCGGACCAAACCATCACACCAGAGTCCTATTGTGAGAAAATCGACGAAATGTACCCAAAATTGCGTCAGCAGCAGCCGAAACTGGTCGGCAGAAGACAACAACGCCCATCCGCACGTTTCACAAATCACCGTCCGAAAATTATAAACGAGATGAGCGCCACTATTCTTCCCAGACCTCTCGCCAATCGACTATCATCTTTTTAAGCACTAACGGATTTAATCGACTTTTGTTACGTTGGCAAAAGTGTACTGATTCAATTGGCGATTATTACGGTTAAATTGAATAAGTATTCACTGATATATACAGTTGAAAGAAGACTCACAAAAACGAAACATTTTTCAAAACAACCTAGCTTATTACTATTATCAAATGCTGAAGAAATACTAACCAATATACTTTTTGCTGTTCAGATGCCCTGCCACTTGATTCGAGAAAACCTGGAAACCACTCGGTATGTTCAAAGGCTCGTCTTCTTCCGGCTCTTCCGGCAACTCTTCGTGTGCACAGCGCTTGGACAGATCGAGCTTCTCGAAACGTTGAGTGTAGTTCGCCATTTGGATGTCTTTGCAGTTCGCCGGGATGCACACTAGGTTGGTTTCTGAACGATGAATGGGCAGCGACTGAACTTCCGATTTTCCCATGATGGTCTGGCTGCTCTTTTTTATTGTTGGATCGTTATCTGACAGTTATCTTGATCTTAGCGCCTGAAAGCGACGTGGCAATAAATTAATAATCAAAATGAACTTATTGATTTGACGTTTATGATTATGTTTGTTTTATTAGGTGAATCATAATTGATAATTTAATATCAATTAGGAAATGCTTAGCGTAATCAGCAAAGTGCAGATGTTCGTGAATATCAGGTGACAAAAAAAGGTAGGGTGGATTTTCACGGTAATTATTGAAAGTAGTTCGAGGGCTGTAACGCATCAAATTAGGATTACCTATCTAGCGTTCCAGAGAGAAACATTTATTTTTCCGGGTGGGGTATTCCAGTGAGATTTTGTAAAGTTAAACGACTGCATATGTGATGAAATTGGACTATACAGGGTGTTTATTAAATATGGGACTATTCGTTGAAAAAATTTTAAGNATGCTATAAGGAATTCCCACAATAACCAAGTTAGGGCTGAAGAAAATCCACATGAGATGCTTGAAGATCGCTTTCAACATCAGTTCTTGTTAAAAGTTTGGGTGGGAATTGTAGGTGACTTCCTAATTGGACCGGTATTTCTGCCAGGAAGACTTACTTGCGAAGTATACCACAACTTTTTGGAACAAAGGCTACCTCAGTTTCTGGAGGATGTACCATTGGTTATAAGAAATGCAATGTGGTTTATGAACGATGATGCACCAGCGCATTTTAGCATATTAGCTCGAGAGTTTTCAACAGTAACATACGGAGATCGCTGGATTGGTCGAAGTGGACTTCACTTATGGCCTGCTCGATCACCGGACTTAAATCCCCCGGATTATTTCATATGGGGCAACCTGAAGTCATTAGTTTTTACTGCTTCAGTGGAAGATATGGAAGATTTGAGAAATCGGATAATTGCTGGGTGTAACGCAATCAGAAACGATCCTGATGTTTTTTTTTGAAAAAGTTCGGGAGTCGATGAGGAGAAGATTGGATTCTTGCAACCGAGCGGAGATGGTCATTTTTAACAGTTCTTGTAGATTAAAAAACATTACATGTGATTTTTGGTAATGAATTGTTATTGTCGAAATTCTTTTTCGCTCCGTATCTTCGAAACAAAGCGCCCTATCAAAAATCATCACAGGACAAAGTATCCTTAGGATAATCCAAGGAATAGTCCCTTAAATTTTTGCCGCATGTTTAATAAACACCCTGTATAATGTCATGTGTTTTTGTAGATCCATATCTCAATAAATATCTATTCTACTGTTGTGGTAAACAGTGTATTTCTTCAATATGTCCTCCCCCTTTTATTTTTTGAGTGGGTCAACTCAAAACATTTAAATTTGGGATAATGAAATTAATGCATGGATCAGTTTTTAATTTGAATGGAAACGTTATTTTGAATTTCAGTGAAATCGAAAAGAATACGCGACGTATTGGTGATGCATGTAGCCGCGTCAAGTAGGTCGGCTATTGTTGAAAAATACGAGTTAAGTCATTTAAGTAGGTAGTCTTTTCATATAATCGAAATTGATTTGATTTAATAATTAATATTTTATTCTTATATTGATGCATTCAGCTGAGAATATTTCAGTTTTTATCAAATGGAAATTTATGGATGAAATTTACAGATTTTGTGGTATTACTTTCACGTATCTTGAATACATGAAGGTGAAGATAATGAATTCCCAATAAAAAATCAGTTGCTATGGACAATCGAAACACAACCCATGTTAATTCAGTGCATTTCTAAATGTCCCTCCCCCTTTTATTTTTTGAAAGGGACGACTCAAAAATTTGAAATTTGGAATAATGAAAATAAGTATGAATACTTTATTTTGAAGTGAAATTGACAGATAAAACTGGAAATGGAAAGGGGAGTCTTTTGACACATCATTTTGAAGCTCCTGACGAATACTTCACAACCCTAGAATATGAAGTCAATATCTTCACCTACTACAAAATGGCGGAACATTTAATAATTTCCTGAAGACTAACGTTNGAGTTGACCCGTTCAAAAAATAACAGAGGGGGAAATTAAAGAATAGCACTGTATACTGATCGATAGAGAATGTTGTACTCTATACATTGCTGTGTTCATTTTTTCCAAATATTATTGTTTTTCTGATATCGTTGAATAATTTTTGGCCAATTTTTCTCCACGAATTCAAATTGAACCAGAGCGCTGCCGAAACAGCCCCAAAAATTAACCAGGCATTTGGCAATGCTAGTGTTATCACGCACTGTTCGACGTTGGTTTGCAAAATTTTGTTTCGGAGATTTTAGCTTCGAAGACGAGCCCCGAAATGGTCGACCTACAGTAATCCAGGACGAGAATTTGAGGACCATAGTGAGACTGACCATCACAAACGGTCCGTGGGATGACGAAAGAACTGGGCGTCAGCTCCCATGCGGTTTCAAATGGTTTTCAACGTATTGGAAACGTCAAAAAGCTCGAAAAGTCGGTGCCACATTATTTGAACGATCGACAGAAATTGACACGTTGCGAGGTCTGTTTTTCTTTGCTTTTGCGCGTATAGACACGTGTGATGAAAAGTGGATCCTCTTCGACAATGAGAGACGTTCAGGACAGTGGCACTTCCCAAAGTTTTTAAAATCTTTTGTTATCTAAAGCCACACATTCAATTCAATTCATTTATTCAAATACATGATATAGTACGGAAGTAAATAGTCCCCCCTGCCTCTTAACTTTCGAACGGGGCAAGATATCAGAATCGGGAAAAAATGTTTGCAAACATGAATTGTTTTCAGTAAAACACGCCAAGTGTGTGACATCACTTACCGCCGAAAGGGGGCTATCAATTTTTTTTTCAAATGGAAAGAGGGGCTTTGTTCTCTAAACAACTACCATAATTTTTTTTTAATTTGGATTACCGGTTGCGAGGTTATCGAAGTTCAAAAAAATTACATATTTTGCAATAGATAAGTGCTAATTTCAAGGGCCTGAAACGATAGTATTTTATTTCAAACTCGTTATTATGTATCTCACATATAAAAAATCATTTAGAAAAATTCAAAATGTCCTCCTTGAACCCCCTGACGGTAAAATGGTCTATTTTAGAACCCATTTCTAAATATTTATGGGGTGATGCTGGCACTAATTTCTGTAATTCTGTGCCTGACTTCCCGTATTATCCCAGGTTGCGTAACTTTTGAGAAGTTAAATCCGGTGAACGAGCAGGCCATTCCAACAGACCGCGTCTACCAATCCACATATTTGGGTGAACCCACCAACAATACTGCCTGTTTTTTAAAGAAATCATGCATAAACGTAGCTTACAGAACGAATAATATTCTGAGCAAATTTATTAAAAACAATAAAGACAAAACTTGAGTGTCGGATAGATCAGGAGTATATATAAGCTTACTTGTGGCTCTTTCCTAAAACTGTATATTGGCCAAACAGGGAGAACATTTTCCCAAATAATTAAAGAGCATAGAAGTAGTTTTGTAAATAAAACGACCAATTCCACATTTGAAACCACCTTTTAGCATAAGGACATGAGTTCAATCATGAATACTACGTATCACATTTAGGAGCGAAAAGTTTGAAACTCAATCTTCTAGAATGTTTAGAAATCAATTGAATCAAGAATTCGGGTATTTTACTGAATGATCAATTAGAATTGAATAACTCCCTGTTACTAAACATTTTCTAAAATGTGGAAACTGGGACAAAAACTCAGATAATTTATTTCATTACAACTCAGGTAAAACTCAAGTACTTGAAATGTAAGTTTTTCAAATTGTAAAATGTGGAATATCGTTAGAAAAGACACGCCTGAAGAAGCCATTGTATGGCAAAAAATGTGTTGCGTTTTTGTAAAACTTTCCAGTGAAAATCCCACAATAAAGTGTTTTTGAATACGTTAGTTATGGATTTTCATCAAGTATTGGCCAATTCCATCATATACCAATCCACATGCCTGGGTATGTCTGATCCAACCAATCCCTTACAGGCCTGAAAAAATGCGGGTGCGAACTATCTTATGGGATGGATTTTTTAATTCATCTTGATTGCACCAATCCGATTTTCCAATATTCCTGCCAAGATATTTATTTTCTCATGAGTTTAAGTGTGACCTCAAAAAATATGTGTATCTTCAATTTACGGGGGTGAAACGTATGACTTTTGAGGTATTTCTTACAGTGGTTGTTGACACATCATTCTCACGAGCAACTGCTGTCATGGACTGCAGGAGATTATCCACTACAGCAACAATTTCTGTCTGTTTCTTGTTCGAGATAGATTTTTTCCATCTTCTCTAGCTCTAAATAGTCTAGATTTTTCTTTCTATTCTTTATGGATGTAGCTTTCCACTCGGGCGCATTTGGCCAGGCTCCTCCTGGTGATAATCAACAGAATCTTCATCTGGAGGCGCAGCGGTCTTGCCCTACGCCACCCTATTTACTTTTGCATACATTTTTGTTATGAATATGAAATTATACAAAGTTCGCCTCCTCTTCTGGGGACATTTTGGTTTTTTCTTTCATATTCGCTTCACTTCACTATTATAGAACTGACAACCTCGTCAAATTCGTTAACGTCCAGCCTGGTTACCGGCGTAAGAGGCTGCCAGTCCTCTCAATTCGTCTTTGACATCATTATTTACACGATCGTAACGTTATTTTAAACTACACTGAATTTTTTAACCAATTTATTCAGATATTTTCGGCATATCGGATTAACAGGAAATCTTGCATTGAACACCTTTTCTATTGTATTTTTCTAACCTATATCAAGTGCACTTTATATGGTTATGTGCCAATTCAATTGTTTGACAAATAAACAACGCGTGGCATTTGTTTATTGCATACGAAAATTCTCATTCAACTCAATCCAATAAATTTATCGAATTGATGTGGAATGCCGAATTAGTTACAGTGGAGGTTTTGTTTTTCTATTTCATGGCACAGATCCGTCGCCACTTTACGGTGGAGATCTGTCATTTCACGGCACATGTGCCAAAAAGTGACGGATTAACAATGATTTTGACATCATAGCATTCCGTGATAAAAACGTATTACTTTCCAACGGTTTTA